CTTGAGCCACAGGCGCCGAGCCTTAATGTTGTCTTGATAATATTTTCCATAATAAAAACATAGGAAGAATGAAAGTGCATAATATTTAACAAAATATGGGGATCATCGTCACTTTCTCCATTTAGTCTATCTAGGTGTTTACAAAGAAAACCTTCACCAAAAATTAAAAACAAATCAATCTCAAATAGAATTATAGCGGCAGAGGGGGCAGTAAAGAGCATTTGGTTCAATTCCCTTACCCTACATGTAAGAAGACTTGAGGGCTGGGGACAATGAAATTGGAAACCTTTGATGGTGAAGAAAGAGGTTAAGGTACCTGATAACATTTCCTACGCTGAGCAACCTCCAGCTCCCTAACTTCCCCTCTTTTCCAACATCTCCATTCTGTGAATCATATCACAACGATTTCCACTCCTTTTCTCTGGACTATGGCAGGATGGGCCATGTTTGGAGTCTCTACTTTGATGAACACAACCCCCAGAATTCTTTATTGTCACCTGCCTGGGTTTTTTAAATAAATTGAAGAATATTATCCCTCTTTCCTAGTAAATATTATATTATCAAATGTATAAAGAAAGCTCACTGGAAGACTGCTTCTCAAACCTGTTTAACACACACTAGATGTAGCTGCTATTGATAGCATAGAGATGGACAAGTCTGGATTCTGCCCTCGAAGTCTCAATGGTCTAGGCAGTGTACATACAAAATTACAGTACAATGTAGCAAGTACAGACATAAAAGTGAGGAAAAGATAGTGTGGAAGCATTAAGAAATGGAGACTTTCTCCTTTCAGAAAGAACTAGGGGAGATTTTGAAAACATGGTAAAAGTTTTAGATTTTAAATTAGAGAAAACAAATTCTTTATTCATTCTAATTTCTTTTTAAATTCTGTATATCAGAAATACATAAGGTATGATGTAAAATAAGCTATTACCCATAACTATCGTTGCAAACATAATCATAATAGTCTGTAACATATAGGAATTCCCCCCACCTTGAGCCTTACAACAATCTCACAAAGTAGAACAAACATAATTATGTAGATAACAGAAGCGTAGGTGACCAAAGTTGACCGGCCTCCTTAGAAACTACCATCATAGCCTGTGCCTGTAAAAAAAAAAAAAAAAATAGCCAGCATTGTGGTGGGATCTGCAATACCAACTAATTGGGAGGCTGAGGCAAGAGAATCGCTTGAACCAGCCCAAGAGTTAGCGACTGCTGTGAACACACGACCAAAGGTGACAAAGTGAGATTCTGTCTCAAAAAAAATAAAAAAAATTTTCCATTTCCAAGGTAACCAAAGTGTTTTCTTCTTTACTTGAATCAAGCTATCAATATGGATAACTAATAGATACAATTTTTCACTTATAACTTATTTTTAAACAAAAGGAAGATTACAGTAACATGTATTACACAAATATAAGCAATCTGTTATGCGTCAGAGACTATTTTTAATTTTAAAAAATAATAGTATCTGAAGATTTAAGGAAGGCTTTTCCCTTTTTAGCAATTCTATTATTTCCTGTTTCTTAGGACTTTCTCAGATAGGTTGGATTTATTTCCAACATTTCAGCCATTGTTCTCTTAATCTGAGTCGCTGGGTTGTCCTTAAGAAAATAATGGAACGAAATTCACAATGTAATATTTTCTGTCACTGCTTCATTCGGCAAGATCAATATCCAGTACCTCATTTCCTTTTTCCTTCCCACTAACAGATTTCTGCAGCTTATACTTTCTCTTTACTCAGAGTGGTTCCTTGATAATGAGAGGAATATTTATTGCTGCCTTCTGGGGTCTAAACACTGCCTGAGCATGATTTAATAACAGTGCTCACCATTTCTTTGTTCTTCTTTTAAATATAGCGCTCTTGACGTTATATTGATAGTTAAACATGAATAAATATGGGGAAAGCTAAGCCACATTATGAAGTGATCACCATTTGCAAAGCATTATAGAAGTAAAGACATACATAAATCAGAGGATCTGCCACAGTGGAAGTTGAAACATAGTCGAAAACTTAAAAAATAGCAAGCTGTAAAAACTTAAAAGAAGTCTAACCCAGCATCTAAGTAGGGCCAAGTGATACCAGTACAGAAGGATAGTAAATTTTCTTAGGGTCCGAGGGGGATAAAGAGATCCTTGAGCTGTGGGGAAATACCCCAGGAAGGCATTCAGGAAGAGGC